GACCTTTGTTCTTTTTATTTACATCACTGACCTAAATGAGGGAATGGTCAATATATTACTTACATTTGCTGAAGATATTAATCTCTGGGGTGTTGCTAGCTGTGAAGAGGATGCTGCTGATTTACAGTAAATATACCCTGGGAGGCAACAGTAGCATCTTACTGAATGAAAAAGGTGTGCTGAAAGAGAAATAGTGCACATTCTACTCAAAGACTGTGAGGCGATAGAAGAATGGCAACCTGTAGAAGCCAGAAACTGTCAGGAAATAAAACAGCCAGGAAGTATAGAGGTAGATATAGATGTGTGGAAAAACTAATCCAATGGTCGGCAGAAAAAAAAAGGTGGTGGAAAAGAATGAAAAGCAGTGATAAATAGAATGCAAGCATTAACATCCTGAGTCAATGGGCCCCCATTCTTGAAAGGAAGAGGGAACAAGGTTCATGGACAATAGAGTCCCAGAATAGGAAAAAATAAGAATATGAGGACCCTTAAAGTAAGAGGTCCATGATTAGGCATGCAGAACTGTCCAATAAGATACAGGACCTGAGCCAGGTCCAGGCAGCTCAATATTACAGAAATGAAAGGAAACAAGATTGGAGAGAGAGATATGGTTTACCCCCAAGTAGTCGAAGTCTAAGGAAGAATGGATTGGTCCAAGAAGGGGAAAAGAGAAGTGCGGTGGAAGAGGGTGTGATAAATGTCAATAGGGTAGACATCAGAACAACAGTAAATGTAGGAAATAAGGAGAAGGGAACAAGTTAGGAGAGAAACATGATAAAAAAGGCAGAAAGACAACAGCATGAGCAAAACATGAACAAGGTCTCAGTCAGGCAATGGAGGAGGACAGAGGAGACAGGGTAAGAAAACATGGCTTTGTAGAGAGAAAGAAGAAAATCCATAGACACAACCACTTGGCAACTAAGAAAGGCTGAAACCACAAATCCTTCGATGAACAGGTTGGTAAAAAAGGTAGAAAGGTGGGGCACACAATTACCACCTGGAGTAAATGGGTGGCAGAAGGACCAATGACAAAAGATCTGCCACTGATGATGATAGGCAAATACAATGAAAGAACAAAAAAGATCATGACCAGGATAACACCACAGTATTGCAAAGTCCAGTCCAATGGGCAACAGACCAAGTAAATTCCATGCATGAGGGTGGAGGAAGGATAACCCTCAGTGATGAAATGAGATGAGAGATAGTGCAAATGAAGAAAGAAAGGAGATAATAGTGAGGGGAAGAGAGAGTCCAACTAAAGAGCATATTAAGGCCAAGACAGTCAGAGAGGTACAAACAAGAGGGTCCAAGAAGGACAGTAGTGTTTAAGTCCAGGATCCAGAAGGATGAAACAAATAAGAGAGTAGGTATAGAGAAACAAGTAAGACCAGACCTGCATATGAGAATAACAACAGCCAAAGGAAAAGGAATAGAAAACTATGAGAGAAGAAGACCATAGTATAGAAGTGTAGCAAAGTGTCCAAGAGGAACATAGTTCAACCAAAAAAATACCATTGAAGATTTGGGGATGCAGAGGCTAACTCTGTTGACAGAATAAGGATTGTCTGAGATAGGTGACTCACCAACAAAAAGGAAGATCCCAAGAAAAGATGTAAATAAGGCACAGAAGTGTATAGTTAGCACTTGAAAACTAAAAATCCATGGAACAGAAGTCACAAAGGTGGTTGGAGGAAGAAAAGGCTGTGCAGTGGCACAAGTTCACATAAAATTAGGTGAGAGTTTTCACAAAGCTAGTGGCATGCAAGTGGTAAAATTGTATGAAGTTCTGGTTATAAAAACAACAGTAACAAAAAAGTGGGATTTACTATCAACTCTCTCACCACAAGCATCCTTTTCTGTGCATGTCACAACTTTTTAGTGAGTTACCTTCAATATTTAATTAAACTACTTTCTTATCATGGTATGCCAATAAATATAGCATAAAAACTTAGCTAATTATCCACATCTTAATGGTATATAAGTTTTAAGTTCTTAAGGCAATATTTAAAAAATTGTGAATTTCCACTAGTATGAGAATTGACATTTTCTCTCTAGGCATCCCCTCTTCTCTAATTTATTTACCACTCCTCTAAAAAAAGTATTATATTTAACATAAGTTACTCATTATAATGTTGTAATCACTCAGGTAAAGCATAATTTTTATAGCCTTTAATCTTATTTGGTTACAGAATAGTCAAATAGAAATTCAGAATCCTCTTGCCATGCTCACCTGTTACATCCTCTCTTTCAGAAATTGACAACAGTTCTTTCTGACATTCAATACTATATTATTTATAACCAACAGAAATCCAATGTTTTACTCTATCAAAGGACATATTATATCGTCAGTTTCACTTCCAGTTTAAGTTTTATTCCCACAGGAAACACATTGATGAGCTTAGCTGAATTACTAATGACTCTTGTCATAGTTAGAAACCCAGAAAAACTATTATAATTATTGAACATTATCTACTTTTTGCATGTTATTATTCTGTGTTCTTTGGAGCATTATTTCATTAAATAAAAAATTATTTAGTGCAGTAGTACCATAAGTATAAAAAAGTAGGGTTAAGGGTCATCAACAGTCAAGAACAAAAGAAAAAGAAGGCCCAGGTACATACTTTATTTCTTGTTTTTCATGGTATTCTTTATTCATTATTATAAAGGTAACT